CATGTGCCTGACTGAACTGCTAGAAAAAGCAAGCCCGAGTTTCAAATGCAATTACAAACTAGGGCCCCGACTAAACTGCAATTGAAACTCGCGCCCTGACTAAACTGCAATTGAAACTCGGGCCCTGACTAAACTGCAATTGAAACTCGGGCCCTGACTAAACTGCAATTGAAACTCGGGCCCTGACTAAACTGCTAAAATGCAGTTTCGAATGCAATTACAAACTGTAACCCTGACTGCGCCGTAGTTTTCTCTTCTTTTTTTTTTGGGTTCGATCTCATGATCTCCTTACCAACAGTCGCATGCATTGGACATGTGTATACGCCTCTGCCACACAGGCAGGTCGATATGATGGCCATTCTGAGGGAATCAGATGAACACAATACCGTTAGGCACCACTTAAAAAATATATATAAAAAATACCTTTAGGCGCCACTACCCTTTCAAGAAGGGGAAAGAAAGGGGGTCATTGATGAATGGACTTGAGTGAACTCCACACCACATCAATGCCTATCAACAGGCATAACAGTTGTGGACGTAAACCACCAGTACATCCAGCTATCGGCCGCGGGCCATTTTCGGGGGCCGCCCGCGGGCAATTCAATTTATCAACGGTGCTGGGCCTCCGAAATTGCCGTAGGCAACGAGTTTTGTTTTCGGCAAGGCTGGGGCCGTGTACTCGCGGTTTAAAATGAACTTGTAGCATGTCCCCTGGGCTAGGATGGGCCAGCATGCCTCGCTTTAGCAAGGCCGCTGTGCAAGGGTGGGCCAGCATGCCTCACTTTAGCAAGGCCCCTGGGCTGGGAGCTGGGCCCAGCGTGCCTCATTTTAGTATTGCACCTGTGCGGGGAACGGGGCCCAGCGTCCCTCGTTTTAGCATGGCCCCTGTGCTGGGAACCGGGCCCAACATCCCTCATTTTAGCCAGACAAAATCGAGTGCACAAAATAAGTGCACGGATGGGCCAGCATCCCTCATTTTAGCATGCCCCCCCTGTGCTGGGAACCGGGTCTAGCGTCCCTCATTTCAGCATGGCCCCTGTGCAAGGGGGGTGGGGGTGCGCCAGGGCAAAAAGATGAGAGGAAGGGTGGGTGGGGTCTTCAGAGAGGTTCATCTGGACAACCGAGTGGCCGAGCACTGTGGGTGACTGCCATCCGTCTAGTATCCCACCCTTACAACAACCTGGGCTTTTTATAAAAAAAAGAGAAAAAAAAAAAAGGATGGGCCAGGGTCACAAAGTAGAGTAGACAAAATAAGTTACTACAAAGATAAATGGGTAGCATTTCAACCAAATACACCTATATGTCATCTGCCTCTGGATCCTACAAATTGGAAATGGTCTAATATAGGAAGAAGAGGAAAAGGGTATTCTTGCACTCTTCATACGTTAACAGTAAAGTCCACTTATAGGATGCTTCGCCCTAAGATTATTTTAAAGGATAAGGTTGAAGAAAGATGGATGAAGCATCTTAATGTAAATAAAGAATTATTAAGGAAGGTTAAATGGTTTAGTAAGACCAAAATTAAACCAGCAAAAGTGGCTTCACTACAATGGCAAATAGAGCATAGATGTCTACCCACAAATGACTGGCTTATAAATAGAACGACCTTGGAACAAAGAGGGATAGCGCTTCCATGGTGTAAATTTTGTAAATCTGTGTTTCCTTCCAAGTTAATTCCGGAGACAATTGAGCATATATTCTTACAGTGTCCTGGGGCAATTTGGCTATGGAGATAGTGGGACCGTATTTGGTCTAATTTGGAAACAAAAGTTCAATGGCCATGGGACTGGAGAGCCCTTCTTCTTGAAACCTGGTCCCCTGAATTTATTGAAGATTTCTCACAAAATGTATTCAATATGGGTAGGAGAGCGGTTTTATGGGCAATTTGGATGAGAAGATGTACGAATGAAATGGAAGGAGCCAGACTAGATGGACCAGAATTTACTGACACAATTAAGCAACAAATTCAAACTGATATTAATATAAAATGGGAACAGGCTAAAGAAAAAATAAAATTTATATCCTCACCAAAGGAAATTCTACAGCACATTCAACGATTCAACCAATGCTGGCTAGGAGGAACCGGGGGGGGAAATAGGGAAGGTAACGAAGGTTGCATGGGAAGGGGCTAGGAGTGGTGAAGAGGAAGAGCTGAGAAGGGGTTAAGCTTGTGTTTAATGACTAGACAATGATTGATCCAACTATTCCTTTACGACCACTTTCAGAATTCCCAGACCTTTTTCCCCCCTCAGCATTAAGTTTGGTCCCAAGGGCTTGGTTTGGGTATGATTGAAATCTAGAGGATATTCATAATAGCCACATTTAGGTTATTTGGTACATAGATAAGAGGGGAAGAGTGCTAGAATTAACCAGATGGATATGGCACCCTAATGGGGTGAAGAGGCACTTCTCATCCAACTCTATAGTTCAAACATAATGCTCTTTCACTCATGTATTCATGTATTCATGTATTCAAGGGACGCTGGACCCGGTTTCCAGCAGGTGTTGCTCCCCACCAATAGATGGAGCTATTTTTGAAAAAAAAAAAAAAAAAAAAAAAAAAAAAAAAGTTACTACAAAACTGTGATGTAAATGAGGGACGCTGGGCCCAGGACCCTAGGCCTGGTTCCAGGCACGTGTTGCTCCCCACGAATAAGATTTGAGCCATCCCATACTGTTGCCCCTGCAACAGGCGTGGGCTCTTATCCCCGTCTGCAGCAGGGGCACCTCGGCAAGAGCATGAGAGAGAGATGCTGACGGTGCTACACTAACGCTAGCGCCCTGAGGTCGGCGTTCCGGCGAGGCCCGGTCTCCCCGGCTACAATAGCGCCAGGGGAGGGAAACTCCTCAGCTGCTAGGCCTGGGCGCGCGCCCGACAGTCGTGCGTCGCTTCCTTTTGCCACGTGGCGTCTGTTGATTGGTGACGTGGTCGTCCCGCGACGCACGCAGGAGGATGCGGAAACACAAGTGGAGCGCAACTATCAGGGTTAGAGATGGAGGTGGGGGGGGAGCTACAACGACAAGCAGATGATTGGCTGGTGACATTGGAGCAGGGATGCAGGCGGTTACAGATGATGGTGGGGGAGCTGTCTTTGCGGTCAATTGAGGAGCCAAAAGACGAAGGGGGAGCGATCTCTATGGCTGTTTGGTTGAAGAATATGGTCGACGACATGCTGGATATCATCTGGTGGCTAGAGGAGGGGCTGGATCCCCAGCTGGAAGCCTGCATTGACTGGAAGAGGGCAGAGGCCATGATGTCTACCTGCTATGACCTCATCGCTGAGGGTCGCAACCTGCACTATAAGCTTGAAGACCGGTTGAAGGGCAAAGACGACCTGGAGGGCGAGGACTGGCAGGAGGACGGAGCGCAGGGAGACGAGGTTAACTCCAGCATCAGCATCAACAACAACAACACCAACGACAACAACAACATCAACAACAACAATGACTACAACAACAACAACAACGGCAACAACAACAACGGCAACAACAACGGTTACAGCGACAACAATAATGATGACAACATCAACATCAACAACCAAAACGTCAACAACAACACCTACAATGGGAGCGCTGAACATGGCAGCAGCGGGGTGGAGAACGGTGCCCGCGCATATCTGATCATCGTCAGCGACATGGGAGAGATGCCGCATGTGGATGCGGTGGAATTCGGGGCTGACAACAACGACGGCGTGGGCGGCAACGACGATGATGGCAGCAGGGATTACCATGACAACAGTCACAACAACGACAACAATAATAACGTCGACAACTACAATAACAGCGGTGACGGCGGCAGCGACGATTACGGCGCCAGCGACGACCCTGGCAGCAGCAGGGCTGAGAGCATCAGCGTGACGGGAGAGATGCTGCATGCTGACGTGGAGGGGAGTGGGCTTGACACCGATAAGAGGTTTGCCAACTCCCCCTCCCTCCCCCCTCTCAACCTCGTTGGTTGGCTGAAGTTAGGGACTGGGATAGTAGCTGTTGATTGGTGTTGTCCGGCCCACAATATCAATCAACATCGGACTGCTGATTGCCCCGCACACATACATTACATTTAGGTTAGGGTTTCGTGGGTTGCTGTACATTTCCAGGCGGATTGACTTGAGATGGGAAACTGGACCTGGTATGTTAACATGCTATCTAAGGGACGCTGGACCTGGTTTCCAGCAGGTGACGGAGAAGACTGTCTTTTTTCTCTTGGGACGCTGAGCCCGATTCTCAGCATAAAATCCTTCAGCATATTGTCATTAGTGGCGCCCTGTGGATAGTTGGTGGATGGCAGGGATTAGGGGACGGAGGGAGACTCCACTGGTGCCCCCCAGTGCCTCCCCCCAATACCCGACCCTGCTGCAGGAGAGGCGTGGAAGAGTAAAGTTCGATATGGGACGCTGGACCCGGTTTCCAGCACAAGGGCGTCACTTTCAATCTACTATGATGAAAAGATGTATCTAAGGGACGCTGGACCCGCTTTCCAGCAGGTGATGCTCCCCATCAATAGATGGAGCGGCCCACCAGGCAAAGCCTCAATCTCGGTGGTTCTCTTACCACCACCAGGATGGAGGCTTTGCGCATGGGCCTCTAAAAAACAAAAAAAACAAAAAACAGAAAACAAAAAAAAAAGGGTTGCTGTACATTTACAGAGATACAGTCTATTAGATGCATTGGGTTATAGGGACGCTGGACCCGATTTCCAGCAGATACACTCACATCTCTGTACATAGGATTTTGTGTTTAAATGATTGATCGATATAGAACACATCCATCATATGCGCCACATCATACATACAGCACACTTACATCACACATACATCACACATACATCACATCGGGGATTGTTTTACATACACAGTGATACTGTGGATCAGATGCATAGGAACAAAGGGTAGCTGGACCTGATTTCCAGCAGACACTTTCACATCTTTGTATAGGGACGCTGAAGCAGATACGCTCTCATCATTGTACAGGGACGCTGGACCCGATTTCCAGCAGGTGTAGCTCCCCGCCAATAGATGGAGCCTTCGACGTCGGGATCTACTTATCGGGGATGCTCTTATCACCTCAATAAGTAGGTTTCCC